TTGCACTATATGCTAACTAACTTGGATGTAAGTTAAAAAAATGAATTAAAAAAAAGAAAAAAAAAGATAAAATGAAAAGTCAAACCACAGACTAGAAGGAGAAAAATTTTGTAAACAGGTATTGGGCAGAAAACTAGCACTGAGAATAAAGACTTCTTATAACTCAACAGTAAGACAATCCCATTTTTTTTTAATGTATAAAATATCTGAAAGACATTTCACCAAAAAAGATACACAGATTGCAGGTAAGCCCATAAGATGCCTAACATTATCAGTGATCAGGGAAATGAAAAGTATAGCCACAATGAGTTACCACAAGACACCCACTAAAGCGGCTAAAATAGAAGACAGACCATATGAAGTGTTAGTGAAAATGCGGAGCAACAGCAAATATAATACTCCACTAGTGGGAATGTTAAGTGGTAACCACAGTGGAAAACAGTTTGGTGGATAAAGTTAAATGTGAACCTATCTTGTAATCCAGACATTCCACACCTTCGTATTTTCCCAAGAGAAATGTGAGCATATGTGCACCAGACTCATAGAAAAACACTCACAACACCTTTTGTGATAGCTAAAGTCTGGATGCATAATGAATGTCAATTAATAGATGAATGAATAAACTACGGTATATCCACACAAAGAAATACTACGTGGCATTAAAAGGGATGAACTATTAGTACACACAACACAGACGAAAACTCAAAAGTTATACTGAAATCAGCTAGACAAAAACGTACGTAACGTAGAATTCCACTTAAACAGAACTCCAGGAAATGCAAACTTACCTACGACAGACATCAGATCACTGGTTGCCTGGGGACAGGAGGGATGAAAAGGGCACGAGAAAACATTGAGGGGTAATGGATAGGTTTATTAACGTAATTGTGTTGACAGTCCCTTGGGAGTACATATATATATCAGAATTTATCAGACATTACCCTTTAAATATGTGCAAATTACACCTCCATAAAGCTTATGAAAACCCTGACAAATCACACAGTAAAAGTTTAAGTAAAAGAGCAAGGAACTGAGAAAAGATACGAGAAGATAATCACTAAACCAAAAACAGAAGTATTTCTAAATAAAAGATATTTATACACAACTAAGCAACTTTTAAAACTAGCAACGTAACAACACTCAGTGATATAAAATTTCTCAAAATGTCGGGGGGGGGGGAGGTGGAGAGGGGAGGACTAAGATGCTTCCAGGGAGTCCACAGGGCCAAAGCTATTTTAGCAATGGTAAAATTTTCTTTGCCTTTTTAATTCTATTTCTGTCATGAGTATACAGTGGGGTTTTCCAAGGACTACATGAAATATATCATAGATTAAATGCAGAAACAGTTCTGGGAATCCAGCTGGATTCTGGTTCCAGTTAGATTCTGAGATCTGTTGCATATAACAATAAGCCAAATATTTAAAAGATCTGCAAAACTGTAAAACCATACCACTCCTATTTTTGTTTGTTTATTTGTTTGGAATTAAATATTAGGGGCACCTGGGTGGCTCAGTCAGTTGAGCATCCAACTTTTTTTTTTT